ATACTGACATATAAACCTAGGACACTTGTGATGTTAAAAGCAAAATGTATCAAAGTGCACTGTACATAGTGATTTATTTGTTAAAAAGCACTAAGGGTTTTTTTCAATAAAATTATCACTACTCTCACCAGAAATACCATAAATGAATGGAAGTGAATGAATCATCAGGAGAAGCAAGTCTCATTGTGAAATCATTTCTAAAAATATTATTTAGAATACTGAGCGGGGAAAATTCTAGGTACACTAACAATTTCAAAATGAAAATATTGTGAGACAAATAATAAGAAAAAGAAAGTCCCATGTTTTCACTTGTAAATGACCTCAGTAATTCTTAATGGATTTATTATAGTAAGCACAAATAATCAATCTGATTCCACCCTCTCCTAAAATCATCATTCTTTCATACTTTGCATTATACAAGGATATTTAAATCCCAATGATTTACTCAGAAAGTTTATTAAGAGACAGGGCAACTTTGGTAACTCCTTGAATTCTGAACCTTTTGCTTTATTACAGAAGCTAAGTTTTAAAAAACTCTAGGGACAATTGAAAAAAAAAACGTAGGTTTTTTACTAAATTGTTTCATTCTATCATAGAAAAAGAATGCAGCACAGATTAAGATAAACACCTGATTATCTGTCTTGAAGCCTACCAGAATATGCCCTTTGAAACAGTGAACTTTATATTCAAAGGTCTAAGTCAATGTTAGTGCTGTTATGATGCTATCAAAGTGACTATGACCATCGCCATAAACATCGATGTTGTGTCAACACAGAAACACTGTTTTCAAAGGAATAGTGTAAATTAAAAGGAAGAGAAATCCGTTGTATCAAATTTTATAAAAGATCTGATAAAAAAAAAAAAAAACCTCTGCTTTTCAAAGTAAAATAAATAAGTTTCCCATACTCACTTTTAAATGGTAAATGGCAATGACATTTTTCTATCCAGAACACCCTGGAAACAAAAGAGCTACACCTGTGATTAAAATATACTTGAAACCGGAAAAACAAATATGTTAAAGGATACTCAATTTTGATTTTTAACATACAACTCCAAGGAAACGTCACAGCCACTTAATAGTTTTGCAGGCTGACCTTGGAGAGCACCGAGTTCAACAGGTTCACCTTAAAGGAAGAAACTGAGGCCCAGAGAAGCTGTGACTCACCGAGGTCACAGTTTTGTTTGTGTCCTGGCTGACGGGGAAACTCCAATCTGCATGACACAACCAGGTCCAGTGTCCATCCTCAAAGCTTTACATTCAGCCTCTGTCATAATTTACTTTACACTTTGGTGGTCAGGCAATCCACTCACTAGCAATGATTAACAGACCGATGGCTTTCGTCACCGCTCTCACAGGATGCCCACAGACGGAGATGAGGACAACACACACTTCGCAGCCATTACTCACTTCTATCGGCTTAAAAAATTAACTAGACAAGAATCATTTTTCTTACTTGAAGAGGGCACTCCTTCCTCAGCATGATATTCGGTACGGCTAACAAAATAAAGTAATAACCTCTTTTTTTCATTAACCGCCAAAGGGTGTCCAGAATAAAAGACACCGGCAATTCTCAGTTTTGGGGTCTTCAGACATCTTTCCACCCTCAAAATGTACTGAGGACACCAAAAAGCTTTTGTTTATGTAAATTAGATCTACTGGTATTTACTGCATTAGAATTAAAACTAATATTCATTTTAAATCATTTAAAACTAAGAAGTCACTGTGTTAACATAAGCATATGTTCATGAAAAAATAACTATGTTTCCCAAAACAAAAACTTGAGTGAGGAGCCTGGCACTGCTTTACATTTTTGCAAGTCTATTGTCTCGATAGAAGACAGCTGGATTTTCGCATCTACTTCTGTTTTCAGTGTGCAGTGATAGGTTTTGGTTCAGGTATATGAATAAGATCTGGGTTCACGTGGATAGGTTGTTGGAAAAAGGACAAGCATTTTATTTTACTTTTTTTTTTTTTTTTAAAGATTTTATTTATTTACTCACAGACACACAGAGAGAGAGAGGCAGAGACACAGACAGAGGGAGAAGCAGGCTCCATGCAGGGAGCCCGACGCGGGACTCGATCCTGGGTCTCCAGGATCACACCCTGGGCTGCAGGCGGTGCCAAACCGCTGCGCCACCGGGGCTGCCCAGGACAAGCATTTTAATGGTCATTAGCAATAACTGCATATGTGATTCTTTGGCACTATGTTGAAAACAGCCAGTCAGTAGTATCTTAAAGGTTAGTAGCAATGTGGAATCTGAAATCACATTAGTGAACTTTCCATACACGATTACATTAAAAACCATGGTCCACCCTCCACTTTGAATGGATCTTTTACTGATGCATGATCTTTCACTCCACAAACCTCCTTGAAAGGGTCTCAGGAATCCCAAACAACAATTTAGAGTTCAATCAAAAGATGGAGGTTATCATGAAACCTCGTAGCAGACACACACTGCCTTGATCCTCCACAACCTATAATTCTTTCATTTATTCCACATCCCCCTGAATGGGGTATCCTCGTCCCACATGAAGATATAGACAAAAAGGCTGGATTTTTGATCCAAAAGACACTAAAATACGACACCGGTGATGAAGCATGGACGAGGTTAAATGAAATATTATAACATGTGGATTGAAATCTAGAAAAAAGATGTAAATATCTCCTGATCCTTGAGCCTTTATTCTGAGAATGATCAAAATAAATAGGTTTGGATAATACTCACCAGAAAAAGCTGTCAATAATCGGTAAGCTACAAGAGACTTCATAACACAAAAGCTTTTGTTAGTAAAGTTTTGGGAAAACTTATACTAACTAGCACAATACAACATGTATGTAAACAAAATGAACCCCCTTTGACTATATTAACACCTATGTGAGGAATTTTGGAATACTCCAGAGGAGACACTGAACAACCCCCTGGGACCCACAAATGCAGAGGAGACTCAAGGTCACTGATTCACATTAATATGTTTGAGGCGATGCATCACTAGAACATTGGGAGGGACTTCAGGAGTTGAGTGTAAAACCTACAATTAAAATGGGAGAAATAGGATGCAGAACAAAACAAGGCAGAGAACTAATGATTTTATCTACTATGGCTACCAGAAATACCATTACCCAAAGTAATAGCCTTCAAATCCATAAAAGCAAATAAATATGTTGTGGCAAATGTATGATGCCTAATCATGAAAAATAATAGAGTAGAATTTAATAAGAATTATCAACAAATATTTCTTCCAACTATGTATAAAATATTTCTTTAAACTATTTTGTATAATTTCATATAATGAAAACAGAAAACTACAGATTATGTAAACTAATCAAATGTTAACAGTAATAGCTAAAATGTATACAATACCTATCGCATACCAGATAATGTGCAAAGTGCTTCTCATAAACTAACTCAATTATCTTAACTCCTTTTGAGACAGGTACTATTGAATTCTTTTTTTCTTTTTCCTCCAGATGAGAAAACTAAAAGCCCAGAGGAGAAGTGTTATACGCAAGGACACAAAGCAATTAAGTGGCAGATCAGGGATTTCAATCAGGACAGCAGTGCTCATAACTACCAGGCCATACCCCCTCATACTAACTCACTAAAAAGTCACTTACAAAAATATTGACATCATGTGCAAAATTTCCTTCTCTAAAAGTAAAACACAGCAGTAGCAGGAGACCACATGCTATGTTTGTTTCTGACGAAAGCCATGCTATGTTGCACTATCTTGCATTACGGTTTAGAATAGAAGAGATAGAGGGGGTATCAGAATATGATCATTCATGCTATCAAGAGCTGTAATAACCTATCCTTCAATGGAATGTTTGCTTCCATAAAGGCAAGAGGAGCAAAGTTTGAATCAACGATAAGGAAAAAGAACATATGAACTAAAGTTTTAGCTTTTGGCTCATAACAAAACAGAAGGAGAAAAAGAAATACATGTAAACGTAATTGTTTACATAACTGTTAATGGAATGAACATAAGTTTTTAAAGAAAACATCCACATATTCCCAAATGCTGAAGGAATGAACCATATCTAGGACATCTATTCTATGTTCAATAAAGGGATCATTTATCACAACCATATAATAAAAACAGTACTGAAACAAAGTCCAATGCAAGTATTCATTGTATAATTTAGAACCACCCTTTACAGTCATATCAAAAACCTCTTCCTTGTTTTTTCTAAATATATAGAATATGATATCTGCAAAAAGGAAAGTCAAGAGATATTTTACAGTTAGTAAAGTATGTCTTCTTGTAGATCTTAAAAGTTAAAAATATACCAACTCAAAATTGCAGTGACATATTTCACTTCCAATATGAGTAAGAAAGCAAGACTGTCCACTTAGTAATTTTAGATGTGCTGAGTCTTTAAAAGCCCTCAACAGTTAAGGAAATGATTTATTTGTATGGAAAACCATGACTTATATACAAATTAAGCTACCCAGAAAAGGACGAAGAGGGTGTAGAGCTTGTGGGTAACCGATTTGGGGTTCAACTTCATACTTCACAACCAATGAAGTGGTTAATAATAATAAAAAAGAAAGCTAAGAAAAAAGACAAAGACCACAAAGAAACAAATTTAAAACAATTCTAGTGAACCAGTGTACCACTAAAGAAAAAAATAATCTAGCACTAGTCCGCTAAAACAAATATAGTCACAGGCAGTAGAAAACAGACTTTTCCCGAACACCTACAACAGGCAATGTGCTATAAGGGGGAGGGAATATCCATACATATTCCTTCAAAATCAACACAAGTATTTTCTTAATTTTAAGAACTTTTTGTTTCCTATTTCAAAACAGCAGTATACCAAAAAGGAAAGAGGGGACACTAAGTGACCATCCTGAAAATAAAAATAAAATGAACTGTGAACTGAACAGTTCATTTCAGTGAACTGAAATGTGTTTAAATTTATCAACTGTAAATACTAGTTTTTTCAACATTTTATAAAGCCGCGATTTTCAGAAAAGGAGAAAAAAAACCAACTTACCTTGTTACGTTTTCTGGAATGTATTCTAGAACTGGATATCCATCACTTCTTCTAGATGACAGGTCACCATGTGATTTCCATGACTCCACTAAAGTATTAACAGGAGGAAAGGAACTCAGGTGTTGGAAAGATTGGTCTCTAGCTGATCGTGATAAAGATATTGTACCTTGAGCACCAATCCTGTAGTGAAAGGACTGTCCACCTGAATTCACACCAACAATAGCAGATGACGGGATGCTGGCCTCTGGGTAATAGCTCCCATCATCTGGTTCCTGTTTAATACCCATTGGGAATCCACTGCCTTCACAGTTACCATCAAAGCCGGGCACAGGTGGTCCTAAAATTCCTGATAGAGAATAATAGTCTTTATCATCCATAAAGGAAAAATATGAGCCATCCATAAATGGAAATGGATTTACTGTTGGATTCCCTTTAAAAGAGGTGCCTGAACATGAATGCTTGGTTGATTCTTGTTTTATTGGTACTGAGAATGGGGAATCAGAATTTATTTTGTTATTTCCTCCTAGACATGAGCTACTAAAAGCTCCATCTGGCTCCGGTTTTATGTACTGGACAATGTTAAGCTGGCCAGTCACACCATTGGAGATGGCATTCTCCACTTCCTCACTCTTAGGAAAGGGGACCTCTTGAGCACCTTTCTCCTGTGTGTCTGGACTAGGAACCACATCCCGGGCCACACTGGATCCAGCAGGAGTGCCAGAAGCAGTGTAGCTGAAGGCATTGTTTACAGGGCTACAGATAGATCCCACAGTACTAGCAGTTGGACTGGAAAGCGTGGATCTGTTATTTGTGTTGGAAGGGCTGGAAACGGAGCACCTTGAGTTGTTGATGTTTGCAGGGCTAGACACAGAGGATCGCAGAGTGACATTGTTAGGACTGGAGACTGGAGATTTTACACTGCAGTGACTCGGAGGGCTGGATATTGGGGATTTCATGCTACTTAATGGACTTGAGAGAGGAGAGCCCACGTGTGCTGGGCTGTGCGATCTGGAGCCTCGATTCTCAACGTTAGGGGAGCATGTCAAAGGAGTCCCCTGGGTGATAGGGCTGTGCACTGTGAAACTGCCAAAGCTGGCAGAGGTGGAGGACACAGAGCTGATTCCAGCAGGGCTGCAAACTGAAGATGTCATGTTCAGAGGGCTGCAAACAGATGGGCTCTTCTCATGACACATGATAGGGCTTTTAACAATGGCACGCATGACCCCACCATTCACAGAGCTCCCAGAGTCAGACATGAAGGATCTCAAGGGCCTGTTCACACCACCTAGAGTGGAAGGATGATGGCCATTTTCTTTGTAAAATTTCACCAGCTGTTCAACATTTTGATAAATCTTTGCTGGACTCATGCTTCCTTGTTGGTTCTGCTGATCATAGGTATAGTCAGCATCTCTTACAGAATCCATGTATAAACCCATGGACTCAGCCACAGTCGCCGAAAGTTCCTTAGACTCCAGCTCAGTTTTAATATCAGATGTTAAAATCCCAGACCGATTATTGTCTTGCTGAAGGCAAGGGAGTAGTTCGTGTTTTTCTTTGCTGCTTCCTTGAGTACTGTTGTTTGGAATAGCACCGGAAACACAGCTTACGTTGACAATCTCCATGTAGTTATTCTCATCGGTCCTCTCTGTAGGTCCCAGGGAAGAATGTTCCACAGCCTGAGAAACTTGACCCCACCGTCTTTCCATATCTAGACCTTCAGGGAGACTGTGGTAGCCTTTGGTCTCCATAGCTAACAAATAAATTTATATTAAAAAATTGAATTAGAGTCATTTATAGCAATATTACTCTAGAAGACATTCTAAAATTGTACTTGCTGAGCTATTCATACATATCCTACTTATTATAAGCAATATTTCTACTTATATTAAAATTGTTGCCTTTTTTATGTGCTGTTATAACAGAGTACTGACTATAACTTGTCCAGAAGCTAGACTATAAGCAGCAATCATATAAAATTATTTTGCATCTAAATAAAAGTAACATGTTTGCTATAATACAGCCTTTAGATTTGCAAAGAATATCTACAAATGTTAACTTATTTAATATTCAGAGTAATCATGGGGACTGATGAAGCAGGCAAGGATGAAACGAAGGGCTTACTAATGTGGGTGACTTGTCCAAGGTCAAAGGCGTGATAAGTGACAAGTTGGGTTTAAAACTAAATCTTCTAACTCTAAAACCTTTGGTGTCTCTCAAGTATACGGAAGCTGCTTTCCATATTGAATACGAGGCTTTATTAAAACAAAACAGTAATGCAACCAATGTTACCATATATTAATATGAAATTAAAGTTATCAAGTGGATTATCACAGGAAAACTAACTTATAAGAATGACTTTTTTTAAAAAATAAGGTTTTCTTAAAATGGATTACTTATGAGGATACTGTAATGTCAATTCCGAAAAGTAAAGATTCATGTATCCTGATTACTTAAGGCAGTCCATATAGCTCCATAGAGAGGCAGTATGACAACTCGGGAATGTCAGCACTAGATTCTCCGTATTTCAATGCTGGCAGGGACTTTGACACGCATCCCTACTTAGTGGTACCTCTGCTATAAAGACTTCTAGCAGAAACAGTTTTATTTTCAACAGTAAATGGAGGAAGTTGAGATGAGTCTTGACAATTTATGTGTTCATTCATTGAACAAATATTTACCAAGTGCGTGCTACATCCTGGGCCTACAACCAGTCACTGAATCTATAGTGACAGACAAAACAGGCACAGTTCTCATCCAAGGAGCCCACAGGTTTTTTTCATCTACACAATCACAACCATTGACTCTCTATAAAATTATTTCATAGACAATATAATAGGTTATATTTACATAATCTTATAATTATACAATTCAATGCAACAGTATACACCTCTTATTTACCCTAATAACCGTATAAGATTAGTAAAAGTATTATCTAAATGATATATTGGGGAAACTGAGGCACAGGCTATACAGCTATGTGGCAGAGCTGGAATTTGACCCCAGGTCTCTCCCTAAACCAAGGCATCTCAACCTTGGCACTACTAACATTTCGGGCCTGATAATTCTTTGTGGTGAAGGTCTGTCCTTTGCATTGTAATATGTTTAGCAATAACCCTGACACCTACCCACTAGATTCAACTAGCACTCCCCATATTCAGCTGTGACAATCAAAGACATCTCCAGACATTGCCAAATGCCCCCTGCTTTGATATGTTTCTATAGAAACATATCTTAAAGGAAATTAACACATTCTTTGTAAAACTTTCATTTATATATTCTAATATACAAAACTGCTAAAATCATTACATATTCATTTGTATTGTATTATGTATGCATTTTTCAAATCCTTTCAGGTGTGTAGATAATCCATGCCCCAAATAAAAGTCTGATGTAGTCTCTGCAGTTCTGTACACCAATATTACCTTAGGCCTCTCATTTTTTTTGTTTTTAAGATTTTATTTATTTATTCATGAGAGACACAGAGAGAGAGAGAGAGAGGCAGAGACATCTGCAGAGGGAGAAGCAGGCTCCATGCAGGAAGCCCGATGTGGGACTCCATCCCGGGACGCCAGGATCAGGACCTGAGCGGGAATCAGATGTTTAAGTGCTGAGCCACCCAGGCATCCCAAGCCTCTCATTCTTTTCCTCCTTCAGCCACTGACTACTCCCATCTCCCTTAGCTTCCCCTCATGAAATGAGACTAGGAAGTCCTTCTGCTACAGAACTTATATTAACTTACACAGGAAAATAATAGAATGGCTCTACTAAATAAACTGGCAATAGATTATCACAAGGCTCTCTAAGGACATTTAATGCCTAAATTGTCTAAGTATTGTAATTATCTCTTCACTGTATTCTATACTAGATTTTAAGTCCCCAAGAGGCAGAAATTTTATCAATTTCACTACTGCATCCCAAGCAGATAGCCTAGTACAAATAAAAAAATGTTAACTCTTATAATCAATACTCAATTTGTGAACATTAAAATCTAGCCTATAACCTTTTACTTAAAGAACATTATTCTATGAATTCCTAATCACAAGTCAATCACAAAGCAGGGGAAAATAAATCAAATTACAATTTAGGTGTCTACCTGGTAATACTACCCAAAAAATTGAGTGTGGATAAAAGACAAGTTGAAACAAATATACGGTGAAATGGGACTTAAACTGCTAATACTGACCTTTTCTTCTTTACTGAAAAACCAGTTAGCTGTAACCATAGGTTGAAAAATAGGAGTATTCTATGTTTCTACTTCTATCTAAGAATATTCTATCCTCCCCATAACAAAGCTGAACAGATGCATATCTAAGGTATAGATGTTTCAGGTCCAAATTCACCAAACACCACAAGAAACATGTCTATTCATGCTCAAAACTGAACATCTTCTGTGTTTCATACCCCCCTCCCCAAACCTTTCTGTAAACCCACATTCCCTGCCTTGGTGAACTGCACCCCTCTCTCCCCTAATGCCTGCAAATCACCCTTGGTGATTCACCTAGGAACTCTTGCCAAAGGCCTCCAAAGGCTCCAGCCTGCCCACCTTCCAACTACAGCTCCATTCCTCATCTCCACTCCCCCCCCCAACCCCGTCCTACCCCAAACAGAGAATCCCATCTACAGATCCCTCCCCAAAAATCCATCCTCCAAACGTTCTTTTGGGAAGGATGATCACTTACTGCTTTTTTGAAGTTTCACAGTGTAAATCTGCATGCTAAACTCCTGAGAAGTTTTACAGTGCGGAAACCGGTTTCCTTTTTATTCCAGCGTCCTCTACATAATTTGGCCACGGCCCCCTTTTTCCACAACACCTACTAATATTCTAAGGGATGGCTTTCATCACTCTGCCCTAAAGCAGGAGCCAAATCTCAAATCTGTGAGACTATATGACGATTCTAGGAGAATCTACATGGGAAACAGCAGACAAGTATAATATTAAAGCACTCTACAAGGAAGCACCTTTATCAGCTAACATCACACAGCTGATCACAACTTTCCAAGTCCTGTTTGGCTAGCCTTGAATTCTTAACAATAGCATAAAACAGCCTGCCTTTCCCCACATTATTGACAGGGCTATCATTAAAGAATTTGCAAAAGGCTTTGCTGAAATCTAAATTAGTTCTGTGTAAGGTACTGTCTTCATCTACCAACTTAATGCACCTCTCAACAAAGAAAATAAGGGTTGGCAACAGTCAGGCACAAAAGAATAGATATCTAGCGTCTTCATGGCTTCCACTGCCAACATTTTTTAAGATCATCGTTTTTAAAAACTTAGGAGTATTAAAATATTTTATGCTGAATGCCCCCCTATTACTTTTAATCAGTCTTTTAATCGGTCTTCTCTGTAAACAAATAGATTATGTTAGGCATTTATTTCCTAAATAGTCCAGGAAACTCAGATTGTCTTTTTGGAAGTGGCATAGCCATGGCTTGAGCAGCATTTCAGTTAGCCTGAACTTACTAGTAAATACTGGAAATATTAGTTGATGAATATACTCCTCGTAGAACTTAACACCCCCATAGTAAAGGAAAAGTTGTTACTAAAGTATAAGAAGAAGCAGACACCGGTATACATATCCAGCTTATATAAAATCAGATTTGTCTCCCTTACAGCAGAAATGTTAACAGAGGCTCTCTAGGGACAGGGACAAAAACCATTATGACCCTTTAATTTTCATGCAAATGGCCTCCCCCAAAACATAAAGGAAATTTCAAAAAGTGAGGAAGAGCTATTCATATGCTCTTAAAAACTTTTTACAAAGGAAAAACCTGACTTTAAAATTTTAGGTTTTATAGTCAGTGTTAAACTGCGCTCTTCCATAAGGAAATAGGTTTGCTTTTTTTTTTTTTAGGAATATTAACAAAGATTCTTGTGAATTGACATTTTGTCTGAAAACACTTTCACTTTTAAGCCCCCCCCCCACAGTCTCATTTAAAGCATACCATTTTCTATAGTTATTTCACCTTAATATGGCATCTTAAAGACAGAACCTTAAGAATTTCACAATTTTCACTAGTTGCACGGCCGTCAAAAGTTTGCCGTATGTAACTATTTTTCTGTCATCCTCACTACGGAACTATTATTATGTCCTCTTCTTTTATACATGGGGTAAATGATAGAAACCTGCCCAAGGTCACCTAAGAGAGCGGGAGAACCAGTTAGAACTGAGCACACCTGATTTCTATTCACTCACCTAATTCACTGAGCCACCTGATCTTTCCAAAATCCCCAAGCCAAACTATGTCCCTCTTAAAGGAAAAAGCTCCCCTTTATCTTTTTTTGTAACTTCTATCCTCAGGCATTTCAATGATAGTGTGCCTTGAACCCAAACATACAATTAAAACTTCACAGAACTTCACAGATGGGCATGCTGTTATCATTATTATGTAAATATCATCAATAACAGCACCTAGAGAAATGGTCATACAAATGTCAAAAAAGCAATTTTAAGTGCATTAGGAATTCAGCGCTCCCAAAAACTTGTCTGGTATCAAACAAAAGTTTTTCTGACTTCTAGGTCATAATAAATAGTCAAAACTGATGGTGCCATAAACCATTTTGATTTAAGCCTGGTCTTTTAAAATTCAGTAGGGAAAAACCATGCACTTAAGTTCAATAGTAGGGTACTGATGACACCAAAAGAAGCTTCATCCTTTCTCCCCTGCCTTTGGAATTACAACTGATGCCACAGAAAGCATTAGCCTCTCTCAAGAGTTTTATAAATACTAGGGAACGGGAAATGCACGAATTTCCAGAGCCCCCTTCAGACAGGCTACATCAGGATCTGTATCTCCTTCAACTGCCCTTATCCGCTACACCTCCAGCTAAGATGTGGGTGCTTCCGCAATTGATAGAGGAAACAAATATTATCCAAACGCCCCTTAAAAATCGTATAAGGAAGACGATCCGAAACTCATCCTCGGGGAAAGGGAAGGGTGGTAGACCTCCCACTGCCAAAGGCGGTTGAAAGCTGCTCGTTAGAGGGCATTTATCCAAAGTGGCCAAACTTTCCCAAAATAGTCCTCTGGCGGCCAAAGGGGGTAAAAAGTGGAAAACCAAAACAAAACAACAAGCACACAGCACCATACTGACTGTGCCTCCGGATTACGCAGCCACTTCTCCCTGCAAAGTGCACGCTCCCGCGCCGCGGCCGCCAGCCGAGTCCGGCGAGCGGCGCCCCGCGGCGCACCCCTACACACCTGCCTCGGCCGGGGTCCGTCTCTCGGCGTCTACCTGTTGCAGCGCTCGCCAACGCCACGACACCCCTGCTGCGGAGCCCCCCTAAATCCAACCACATCCAGGCCAGCGAGTGCCGCTCTCCCTGCAGCGAGAGAGCCCGAGGCTGCAACGCTCCTGCACCCAGGTGACTGCACGGGCTTCCTCCGAGCAGCCTGAAGTTGGCTCGCGTCTCCCCAGTCCAATGACACCCCGGGCGCGGAGGGGCGGAGAGGCGGGGGCAGGGCCAGGGCCAGGGCCAGGGCCAGGGCCAGGGCGGGCGAAGTGGGAAGGGAGAGAGGGAGAGAGGGCGGGCGAAAGCCCGGAGGGGGAGTGGGCCAGCTCCAGGGCCGGGGTGGTCACATGTCCAGATAAAGTTCAGGTTGCCATCCCGCCCCCCTGAGCCCTTCCTATTGGCCCGGAGGGAAGCAAGGCTCCACGCTGCACAGGCCAGGCGGGCTTCTCATTGGACAACGCCGGCTGTCAGTCACCAGGAGGGCGACATGACTGATACAAAGTTGCTGCGACACAGCCTAGACTCGGCAGCTCCCTTAAAGCCGCAGCCACGGCGGGCGCCTGGGGTGCCGGGCAGCAGCTGCGACGCCGAGCGCTGGGCGCCCTCCACGCGCCGCCCCCCGCCCCTCTCGCTCGACTGCTCCAAACTTGCTCGCTCCCACCTGACTATCCTCCTGGCTGACCTCGGGCTAACTGGAAAGACGTGAAAAGTGTGGTGACGCGGAAGAAGTCGGTTTTTCCGAGATCCAGCCAAGGTGTCGTTCCCTCGTGCTGTCCACCTGCAGCGCCAGGTGAGCGGCAGCCCTGGCCCAGGCACCGCCCACGGCGTCCGCGCGCAGGGGAGGGCTCCGAGTGGGCTCGCCCCGACCCCCGGGGCTCCTCTCCCCCCGCCCCTTCCCTCGGTCCTGCGAGTTACCTCTCGGCAGAGCGGCCGCAGCGTCGCTGCCCGCGAGCAAGAGGATCACGTTCCCACTCGATTTGAATTTCCTTGTTTTAACCGTGCGGGAAAAGCGGGTGATTTCAGCGCAGCCAAAGCCCTTTAAACGCAGCCTCTCTCCCACCCCCACCAAAAAAAAAAAAAAAAAAAGAAGAAGAAGAAGAAGAAGAAAGAAAAAAGAAAAAAAAAGTGCCAGGGTCAAGAGCTAGTGCTCTCCTTCTTTATGATTTTGTCGGTTCATTTATTAGTTTAGTATCGGATTTTTCCACTAGCTCAATTTGAAAGCCATCGAGGATATTCACTTCTTTATAATGGGGGGGGCGGGGCGGGGGGTTGCACACAATTGGGAGAAACACAGAGGAGGGAAGAGGAACCAAAGTGTTTTCTAAAGATCGAGTGCCTGCAATAAATTTGTTTCCCCGCAGCCGCCCCCACCTCGACTCTCCTCTCGCCCACCCAAACGCTGTAGCTACTAGGCAAAAGGAAGGGCTTCTGAACTTTGATTTCTAAAGACTTTGAGGCTCCGCGTCTGAGGCTCCGTTTTAGGCTCCCGGCTGGCCCAGAGTCAGCACCAGTGACGTACACACCTAAATCCGGGCCCCCGGCCCTCGGCGACCCGCAGCCCGGCGGTGGCAGCTGTGCAGCCAGCCTCCCGCCTCACCCCTGCCTGGCCCCCGCCATAGTCAGAGGGCCAGGGGAGGGGGGTCACTCTGTCTGTGCCCAAAGCCCCCCCGCCCCCCCCGTCCTCTCTTTACTGTAATTAAGCTTCGGGATTCCAGACCCCCCCCGGAACCCTGGAAGCCTCGAACTCTCCGCCGCTCCAGGTAGGGAACTCCCTGGCGGCGGGGCGACTCCGGTGCTCAGCAGTCCCCTGTGCGCAGCGGCCCCCGGGACCCCGCAGCCGGGAGTCCCCGCCAAGTGTCCCAACTTTCCCGCGGGGCCCGCCGTCACGCGCGCTCTCCGGGCCAGGCGAGCAGTCTGGCATCGATCGCACCCGGGCCGAGCGCGGGCGGCGGGCAGGAGCGAGGGGAGTCCCGGACCTAGCGCCGGGGCAGGCGAGGGGGGCGGCGGCTCAGCCTGCGCTGGCAAATTTATTATTAAAGGAATGGACGTGCCTCTTTTACTAAGTTTTTACCTCCTTTTCGGAGGGCCGGTCTTGCCCTGGATCGCAGCTGCTTACGAAATCTAGGTTAGATTTTGCAGGGACAGCCGCCGCGATCGCTCGCCTGCCGCCCAGCACCCCTGCCCCGAGGCGGCCCGGCGGGCACCTGGTCTGCAGCCCGCAGCCCACCTCGGCTCGCCCCCCCCCCCGCGCCCTCGCGCGGCCCCTGCCCTCCCCTGGGCCGCCTCTGCGCTCCCCGGGCCCCCTCCCGCCGCTGTCAGCGCAAAGTGACTGTCGCCGCACTCACCTTTTCTAGGACATGGTGGGGAAGCTGGGGCGCGGGGCGGGGGGGTGGGGCGGGGGTGAGGGCAGCGAGACTCCCGCCGCCGCCGCCGCCGCCGCCGCCGCCGCCGCCGCCGCCCGCAAGTCCAGTACTAGCGAGCAGATCGGCGGTAAGGATGGAGAGGATGATAATCCCGGCCGTCGCCCTCCTGACGGTGGGTAGAGCAATAGACCAGTAGCGTTGTTACCCCGCGGGAGGCGGCGAGGCGGCGGCGCCGAACCGCGCAGAAGGGGACGCGAGCGCCCGCCCGCCCCCAGCAGCGGCGGCCCGGCCCCGAGCGGGCCCCTCTCCCGGGGCTGCTGGTCTCCCGGGCGTTGCCGGCGGCCGCCCTGGAGGCCGGGAAGCGCGGCGGCTGGTTCCGCGCCCGAGCCCCGCCGCGCGGCTCTCCGCGCCCCCTCTCCGGGCCTCGGGTGGCCGGTGACAGCTCAGGCGGCGGAGCGTGTGTGTGTGCCTGTGTGTGTGCGAGGGGGCGGCCGCAGGGGGAGCCCGCGGCGCCGCGGCCCCCTCCCCGGGTCACACCCTCCGCCGCGGGAGGAGGCTGCAGGGCGGCCGGCCCCCGGCTGGTGGGCAACGGGGTGGGGGCGCCCGTGGCTGCGTGCCCTCTCGCCCCGGCCCCCGGCCGCCGGGAGGCCCCGGGAGGACGGAGCCCCCGACGCACGGAACCCTCCCGCCACCACTTCGCGCGTCCCCCCAGAGTCTGGGCCCGAGCCCGCGCCCCGGCCTCAGGTGCACTCCCCACCCGCGGGGGGCAGCGCGGGCTGGGGACCACGCGCGGGGGGCGGGAGCGAAAAGTTTCTTCTCCTGCTCGCCCGCCGCCCACCCGGGGAGGCCGCCGCGCTGCCCTCTCCCGAGCTCGCGGCGCCGTTGCCCCACCCCCACCGTGGGGGGGCCGCCGAGGAAGGGCCGGTGTCTGCGCGCGGGGGCGCGGGGGGAGGTCGCTGAGCGGCGGCGGCCGCGACCGGCCCCCGGGCGGTGACAGCGGCCGACTTGCGGCGGGCGGTGCCTGCGCGGGGCGAGCCGAGGCCGGGGCGCCGCGCCGGGACCCCTCCCCCTCCGCTCGCCGGGCGCCGCGCGCCCCCGCGCCGCCCCGCGCGCCCCCGCGCGCCCCCGCGCCCCCGCGCCCCCGCGCCCGCCGGGGCAGACACCTACGCAGACGCGAAAGTGAAAGGGGGGCGGCCCGGCCGAGGGGGCGGGCGCACGGCGGGGGGCGCGGGACCCAGCTGGGACCGCGAGCCCGGGGCTCTCCCGCTGCCGCTGCCCTGCGGAGCCGCCCGCCGCCTGCGGGCTCCGCAGCCGCCCCGGAGTCCCACGCCCGTCACTCTCTGCCACGCAGATCACCCTTATCAGGGGATGTGTGTGCCCGTGTGTGTGCCCGTGTGTGCCCGTGTGTGCGCGCGCGTGTTCACGTGCACTCGCGTGTGTGAGATATACGTCCCGCCCGACTCTTGCACTGCACCGTTACACCTGGCCTTGGTGGAAAATTTTTTTTTGGGGGGGGATGGGGGCGCATCGTGAATGTCACCATCACTCACAGGCTTCCGTGCCTGTTGTCCTTTATGATATAGAGTTTAAAAAACCCCGCGAACTGACCCCCCCCCATACACACACACACCCCTTTCCCGGCTTAGCACTTTTCCTACAGGATCTGTTGACCACCACCCTAAACCACCACCAGCACCCCGCCCTTTGCAGGATTCTTGCCCATTTTGTTCCCAAGTAGCTGTGAAAGTTGCTAATCTCTTCCCACACAAAACCGTGTTCAACACGGTTAAAACAATCACTGCCTTTCTTCGACCGTATCCCAGTGTCCCAATATCGAGCCCCCCTTTGCGTCCATCACCTACATGTACGGTATTGGCACTGCTCAATTCTCAGATGGCTGAAGGGGGCATTTTGGCCTCTAGGAAAACGACCTTTTGCCTCAGTTCCCTTCTTTGTAGGGGGCGTAGAGTTCTTAAAGTATTAGGTTTTAAGCGAAAGCAAGAAAATAATAATACATTTTCAAACGAACATATCGACAATTAATTACAAGTGTCTACTGCAAAAACTGAATCTTGAAATGCATAAAAAAGGAAGATGGATTGACATTGGTGGTGGGTTGCTAAGGTGTACAGAAGGACGGGTGGGTATATGATGAAGCATGTATATACTGAAGTACGACATTAACGGTGGAATCTAGTGGTGGGTATACAGGTGTCTGCTGTAAACTAACTTTTTTGTATGCTTGAAATTTTTCATAATGAAATGCTAGAGAAAACTCTTATTAGAGAAAACTCTTATTTAAGGTAACCTATATAATGTAAATTCTGTTTACAAAATTTGCAAATTAGGCGTTGATTATTCCTTCCCACTTTAAAAAATGATTTACCGTGAACATTCTTTACTTAGATACCCTACCATGATTCTAATCAATAATTTCCATTACGGACAACTTGTCAAGGGATCAGACTATGGCATAAAGGAGGTTATTATAAGTGCAACATCTTGGAAATGTAGATTTCTTACTGTGTTTTTTCTTGCCCATTCTCAAATTTTTATCTTCCCTGCCTTAAAAACCATTTGGTATTATACAATTAAGATTGAGTTTTAAGCATATGTAAATATTCTTTTGAAATTTTTTTCACACCAAAATAGCTAGGAGTGGGGGGCATATGCCCATTTATAGCAGCTTCTCTTGTTCTTTGGGAGGGATGTTAGGGGATCTAGCAATTATTAATAGGCGAATCTTTGGGGGATATCTGGGTATTTAAATTAAGTTGCCAAACGTTTGAACAATTAAGTTTCCCTCTTCGCTTTATTTTGTTGTGCTGTCCATAAGACAAGAGGTGGTCCTGTGCCATGAAGGGAGAACAGCTCCAGGATAAGATCTGTGG